AGCTTCCTTTCCAAACATCTGGATTAACAAGTCATGATCCAGATGTAAGGTGGCCTGCCATAGATCTTGAAAATATCCCTACCATCAACAGGCGCCTGGACGTCAAAGCACCATCACCTCATCCTGATTCATCTTCAAGTAGTGACAGTGATGATGAAACTACACATCTTGCAGAGAGGCCTGGGAGGGTGGTCAATGCAGAGCTTCCTTTCCAAACATCTGGATTAACAAGTCATGATCAAGAAAATATCCCTACCATCCAGAGGCGTCTAGATATCAAAGTACCATCACTAGACTCTAATTCGTCTTCTAGTAGTGATGATGAGGACGAAGTTACACATCACAAAGAGAGGCCAGGGAAGGTTGACATTGTTCCAATAAAGAATTATGAAGAGGGGAAGGTAAATCTTTCAACATTTCCATTGCAAGAATCTGAAACGGTGAGTCATGATCCACTGGGGTTTGCTGTAGAGCTTAATAATATTACTCGTATAAAGAGACGTTTGGACATCAAAGCCCCATCATCACCTTCTAAATTGTTAAGTGATGGGAGTACAAATCATACAGTGGACGTAAAGATAAAGGAAGCCAACAAAATTAGTCCCCATTTCTCATCAAGCAGCTCAGTTGAGCAAGATGAGTATACTGAAGATATAAGAAACCCATCAATGACAATAAAACCACATATAGATCCAAGATTACTTGAACTAGGTCTCAGCAGTGCCCCTTGTGTCAAAAGGCGCCTGGATATTAAAACACACTCACCTTCAACTGAGTTGTCTTCCAGCAGTGACAAGAGTGACAGTGAAAGTACAAACATACATGTGAAAGTGGAGAGAGGAAAAACTGATGTTGGGCTGACAAATAATCAACCAGGGACACAATTTCCTGAGAGGAATAAACGTTTATTTCCCATTAACAGGCGTTTGAATATCAGAGGGCCACCACAACCAGCAGACTCCAGCTTTTCCAGCAGTGATAATGGTAGACTTTCAAGCCACACTGTGAGACATGAAACAGACAAAGATGGTGTCGGGATCACAACTCAAGAGCAAAAGACAATGATGCATAACATTAATCTGGATATCCCCAATGTCAGAAGACGCCTGGATATTAAAGCACCATCACCACAACCAGATCTCGTTCTTGACAGTACATCTGCAGACCTTCGAAAGTCTGAATCAAACTCTTCCACAAGTGAAAGTGAGGATGAGAACAGAGACCACAAGTTCAAATGGTCTCCGAAAATCCCACTGATAGACATTTCTCCGATTCCAAAGACAGACCACAATATCAAATTAGAAAAGTATACAGTTATTACAGATGACCTGAGGAACAAACCATCAGATGACAACATCAGCCCAACACCAGAGATAAACCCAGAGCTTCAGTCACGGTGGGCCACCATGAATCTTGGTATCTCCCGCTTTAGAAAACATCTTGAAATCACATCACATACAAATGTACCACCAAACCTGCCCACGTCACCTTTACCTGACTCCCCCTCCTCTTACACAGGTGAAAGTGGGACTGGAAATAAAAGTAGCAGAACTAGATTAAAGAAGAACTTAGAAGTAAAGGTTACTGAGGAAAAGTCAAACCCAGATTCCCAACTGTCTGGTTTTGACATTCCACATGTTAGTAGGTACTTGGACATCAAGGTCCATGAAAAGGCTCCTGCTACTTCGCCATTACATCAACAGTCTGATTCCTTATTCAGCAGTGAGAGTGAGGGTATATCAACAGAATACGCAGTTAACAGATGGAAGGGAACATCTCAGCTAAGTGTTGTCCCAGACGTGGCAGCTCCCCAGAATCGCACCTCTTTACTTGTGACCCATGCTTTTGATGAGTCACGCAGTGGAACTCAGGTGGAGAGGAAGGCTGGGGTAGAGCTCAAAAGCCACACATCAGAAGAGGGAGACGCGTCTGACTCAATGTGGCCTCAAATAAGTCTCACAAATATCCCTCATGTCAAAAGGGCTTTGGACATCAGAACTCTGCTGCCAAGAGAATCCTCCTCCAGCAGCAACAGTGAGGATGAGACAGACCACAGTGTTCCTGACCTGAAACCTGGTGTCCCTCGCATTAATAGACTTCTGAATATCAAGGCACCATCACCAAAGCTTAAATACTCTGCAAAGCAAAGCTTACATTCATCTTCAGCAATGACAGATTACGATTACTCTCAAATCGCTTATAAACGTTCAATTATCAAAGCTCCAGCGCAACTCAATTCTTTCTCTTCCAGAAGTCAGACTTCAGACCATCCTGTTGCACAGGCAGGTCTATCCCATAGTGTGGGGGACAGAAGTGCATCTCTTTCCCCAAGGGGAGTTTCCGGTATTGAGCAGCATGGCACCTTAGATGTGGAACTGACACCCGAGATACGGTGGAAGGGCATCGGTCGAGATCTATCTGACTTTTCCAGTGCGAGTAGACGTTTGGATTTAGGCTTACTTCCTCCACAGCGGGCTCCACCTGCAGAGCCAGAACACAACCCACCTGACTCCTCCAACTTCTCCCATGAAATAAAACAGGACGGAGGGAAAGCATATGAGACTCTGATGCATAGATATTCATACCCTACTGCAAGTAGGGTTTCTGTTGCATCCAGCAGATCTGTGGACCAATTTGACAACACAAGCAGAAGCAATAATGAGATTTTTAGGGCTCTGTCTGAGGATAGGAAGGAAAAGAAGGGCCTTGGTGCTTTAAAAGCTATGTCATCAAAGAGACTTCGGTGGGACATGGAAGATAAAGATAAAGATGCTGTTTAGATGATCTCCTCCTACGTAGTGCCCATGGTTCATAAGGTGACAAGTTTTAACTTATGAGGGTTTGTGAGGACATCATACCTGTGGCCAAACTGTCACTTAAACAAATACACAGTTCGTCTATTCAGATGAGAAATCTGCTGCAGGTTGCTTTATGTATTTTGCTGCTACAGAAGGGATGACAATAGAGATACCGAGCCACCACAAAGGGCTCCGACTATTACAGCAACACTGCCACTGCATGAGGCAGTTGGGCTGCAAGACACAAGAGTGGATATGTACCAGATCGGTCCTGCGGCATTGCAGAAAATCAGAGTCTGACTCCTCTGTCACATCACAAAACCTGCCACTCCACTATGTCTCCTCAAACATAATGATCTGTGATGTTAAACACAGTAATTACCACTAGAACAAAGAAATGATTGTCATTGTCTTTAGTTTTTGTCTTAAATTTGATTATGATTTAAGATTGAAATTAAATGTAAGAATGGAGTAGTTGAGGAGCAGTTAAATCATAGTCAAGTTGTATCTATAATCCATTTTGCAATGAGAGTCCATATAATCATAATGCACCTGTATTATTAACACACCTTAATCAAACCATGTGTAACTGTGATGTGTTCATTTGTAGAAATATGCTCATCTAAATAATATCAACAGTAATGACAGTATTTAGTACTTTTTGTTATTGGCAAACTATTGATGGAAGAGCCATTAAGTTAATAAACCATTTTATTTATGTATATAGACATAGGTTATAGTGAAAACAGACATATAGACACTTACATAGTTTACATACATATATACAGTTGGGACAAGGCTGTTCATCCTCCTGCATTGTCATGGGAGAAAACTCTGGTAACAACTACCTTGATCTTAGATTTATGCTGATGATTGATGTATTGTAAGGACAATATAGGCTTTCATAGTTTCAGCTGCAGGGGACTAAAATGGGGGCTGATGTACATCTTCACATATACTTCATGTGAATTGTGACAGTGTGGTGCAAAAGTTGCAGAACTTTAAATAAATAAAATAAGATCCTGTGTACTGGCTGCAACCGCCGAGGGCTTTGCAGCATGTGTAAGGATGTGTACGATGGGTGGGAAAATGCAGGAGGGAACTCCTGTTCCACCGTGAGGTTACAGGTGTGTTCCAGGTCTTAATAGACGCGATCATGTTCATCAGAATTAGGAGAACATGGTCGTGAATATCAAAATCAAGCACAAAACATTTGCACAAATTCCTGTACAAAACAAAAGAAACGCATTTGAAAAATGTTTTCAAAAAATCTCATCCATTCACAAAAGGCTCTGTTGGAGCATGCATGCAAATATTAAATCTTCAGACGATTCAGCATCACACAACAGCCAGAGACAAAAATTTATACATGTGTTACAAGAACATTATACTAGGCGAAAGGAGAGCATAGCATCTTCACACAGCTCCAAACTGTCAGTGTCCATTGTTTTGATTAGATTCTATGGGTGGTACAAAGCAATGCTTTCAGCAAACCTACAGTACTACTCAAGCCTTAAGGACCTCGTCCTGAGAGGGTCACTGGTCTTCCACTTTAGTTACATTAACACTGTCAGTGTTGAGAGAGATGCTCACTAGAGAGGAGACCTGAAACTATCAATGGACTAAGGAAGACAAAACAAATATCACATAAAGACAAAATGGACACCAACTATTTCTATGTCAACTGATAACACAGTCCAAACAGTCTGAATTAATCCTGAAATAATCCCTGACCACTCAAGTGTGTCTGTGTGTGTGTGTGTGCATGAGCGTGTGTGTGTGTGTTGTAAGTGTCTTCACACGTGTATATACTGTACATTTGGGTTTGTTGGTACATGTGTGGGACACACAAAGTGACTTCCAAGGTTTGAGGCACAATAATACTCTTACCTACACAACGTAGATACATAAATTGGTCACCAGACCAATAAATGCTGATCAGAGCACTAGTGGCTCACCGCTGTACTGTAATAAGAGTTAGTAAGCAGCAATGCTGTTTTGTTTGGTGTTAAAAGGTCTGAGGCCTTTGCAGGGGGGTTAGAAACCTGTTAGCGTTAGCCGAAGCAAAACAGCAGGAGGGAACAGAAACTGGAGGGGGGAGAAAAAAAAATCACTGGCACAAATCAACAGTAAACAGCACAGGCATCAGAAACCTGCAATCAACCATTTGACACAGTGTGCTTCTTAAAAAGTACTCCAACTTAAAACATGACAAACAATAGTTAGTGCCATCCGTCCGGAAAGAAAAGCTTAAGTTCAAGTTCATTGCACAGATACATAATATTTAAATGTGCCTGGGTCAAAGTGACCCTGTTTAAGACTCAGACACAATGCATGTATGGTCACTTGTGTTGGTTGCTCTGTGCTGCAGATAAGGGTTGAGGAGTGGTCCTCCCACACAATACCATTTTGCTTCCATCATCCATGCATGATACCATGTTATCCTTACACAGACAGCAATATGACATGTCACAGTGAGAGAGAGCAATGCCACTGGGGACCGTTGCAAGCTGCCCACTACGCAACTTTCGGTAGGAAACATAACTCCACAATGGCAGCCCTCCGCATCCGCACTCTGGGCAGCACGCACCCAGGCTGCAAACCCATCTCCCATCACCCCCACCCCAGTCCCACCCCACAGCCCGTACCCCTCCTTTTCTAGGAAGCTCCCACTGTCACTGCTTTACCATTTTGTATTGTTTACTTATTGGTTGTTGATTCTCAAAGTCGTTGTTGTCACAGTTGTATATATATTCAATTTCTCCACTTTGCTCTGCGGCTAGGACATTTGTCTTTCCTTGTACCATTCCACAAACTCGTCCAACAAAACAGGCCCTGACGAAAGGATAAGATAGAAATTATAATAGATTAGAAAACTGTTATTTTCTTAACATGCAAATTAGGCTCTTTTGTCATATTAGTGTGTAGATAAATGTTCACTTACAAGCACCATCCTCGTCGTAGTTACTGAGGTCCAGGTTGATTGTCCTGCTGAACTCTAAAACATTGCACCACTGGTCTTTGTTGATGACTTTGTACTTGGATTGCTGAGGAAAATAAATGAATAGCTTTTAACAGTCAAGGTCCAGTGTGTAAGATTTAGGTGAAAGGAAACTATTGGCAGAAATTTAATGGAGAACAATCCTCATGATGTTTTCACTAGTTTGTTCCATCTACATTGTATGAATTGTATTTTTTTTTACCCTAGAATTGCCCCTTTATACTTAAATATTCACATCGAGGGGGTCCTCTCTACGGATGCTGCCATCTTTTTTTACTGTCGTCCAGACTGGACAAACAAAAGACCTTTTGAGAACTGAAGGCTACTACATGTTCTTTTTTGTGTTTGGAGGGTGAGGTGAGGGGTATTTAGCTGCAACATGCAAATTCACCACTAGATAAATTCTACACACTGTACCTTTAACGTGGCACCACAACCTTTCAGTTGCAACAACCCTGGCCAAGGTCAAACTGAACTTCAGATAATATAATACAACTATGGTACGTGACTGTATCTTAAATCTGGTAAAAGGTTGTAGAGACAATTTCCAAATGTGGTACTCACCTCTAGAAACTGATTAAACACTGGAAACAGAGGCCACGTCTTTCCCAGAAGAAGCCCCAGCATACACTTTGCTGTGTTTAAGTCCAAACTCCTCTGATCCTTTTCCTGTCCGATACAAAACGAGCATGGTTTTATGACATTGATGCAAAATCTTGAATACAGTTTAAGGACAGGTTAGACACAAAATCAGCTGAATACACATAACTGAATTCTTTGACCCATTAATGTTAAAAACATTTTTATCCCAGCCACTTAAGCATGTTTTCATTCACCAGTTGTATTTTAATTCACTCCAACAGTGTGACATGCTTTATTTAAAACCATGCACGGTTGAGAATTATGTAAATAGACTCCACTCTTGATAAGAGGTTTTCCACTCTAAGTCATAATGAAAAAAATTATTTTGACACTCAGCAAACAACTGGTTTTCACTACTGAACGGGACAGGATTTGTATTGCAACTTGGATGTTGTGTTTGTGAGCTTCCCCACCAGAAGAAGATTTTGCTTGACTCACCCGAGCGAAATCAAAGGCGTATCTATAAATGAGCTTAAAACTGGTGCTGTCGTTTAGGACAGATCTCAGGTAATCGAGCGAGTTCCTCAGCCTCTCCGTGGAATCGCACCTGACAACAGCAGAAAAGAGCCTTAGACTTTTCACTGAAGCAATTTCTTGAGACCCAGCAAAGCAACTATCAATCTTGAAAACATCATGATAGAAGGACAAAAAGTAGGTTAAGTGACGTACTGCAGTGAGCCCATGCCTCTCAGCCACTCCTGGAGAGTAAAATATCCCATACTCTGGGCATCCAGCTTCCAAGCAAGAACCAGCATCACCACCTGAACACAGTAAACATTTATAGCTTCAGATATCATTAAATAGAAGACCTGTCAATCCAGATTATCCATCTACTGAACTGACCCAACGATTACACATCAAACACAGAAACCAAATGACCTGAACAACCTTTGAAACAAAGAACGAGTGTAACTACTAACTAGTAACATTAAAGTAAAACTAGGGCTCCGGATTTTTCTGAATATCGGGTTAATTATGCTAACTTTCCTTTTTTCAAAATACCTATTAGGTTATCAGAGCCAAAATGGAGTCTCAAAGTGGAATGATAAGTCTGAGCAGCAGCCAAAAGGGTAGATTTCTAAGAATTTTTTTTTACCAGATGTAACCAAACTACAAGACAAATCTAAATACCCAAAATGCAAAACAAGCTACTTACATTCTCTGGTTCCACGCCGATGTCCTCACAGAACTTCTCCATGCCTTCTGGACCCACCACATCATCACAGCCTGTTTTAGATAGACAAGTGTGAAGCCACATACAGCAATTTCACACATTGAGCCAAAACCCAACACCACTGGTCAGTGTTTAAATGTTGAATCAACCAAAAAGGTGTGATGTTTAAAATAAAAGCCCTCACCTGCATATTCATAGAACCACTCCAAGCACCTTTTACTAGAAAACGTCTCTTCCTCTCGAATTTGTGACGTTTCATGTTTTCTGAAAACACTGCACATGATAAGACAGTTAAGTCTCAAGCTCTGCAGCAGTTCTGCAAGCAGATGTCAGAATTTCAAAAGCAGTCGTGTGATTTAAAAAACTTTCTTATTATAGTTTTTCTTTTCCTGACTGCAAACCAATGTCTTGCACGTTCCTCCTGCATATCTGAGCTGGATCTATGCTACTGATGTGGATTATTTAGCTTTAATCTTTGACAGAGGGATGTCACACCTGTCCTGGCGACTTTTCTTGGCTGACATGTCATCTCCAGCAGATGGTCTCCTCTTTTTCCTAGGAGGCATGGCTCTGGAGCAACAAGCTGGGGATGCAAAAGAAATGTCAGAATGAAAGGCAGCTACCTATTAGCATATACATTGATCATGCATGTTTTCTCTGTTTAAACATTCATGTAACATTCCAATTTAGAAAGACACACCACTTTGGCTGTACTACAATGCAGCAGTAATTACATGGTGACAGTGTTTGGAGTTACCTATGGAAACACACAAGAAGTTGTTTATGTCTTACCTGTGGGGTGGCTATCCTGTCCAACGTCTTCTGTCAGGTTCTATCCAAATACACACGTAAAACAACACAAACTTGTAAACAGGACACATGTAGACATGGTGCACACTCCAGACTGACAAGCACACACACATAAAAATATAAAAGCTGCTAATATGTATTTACCAGCCTGTGCAAGGTGTGGTGGATCTTATGGATGCTGGCCAGTGTACTCAAGTGGGAATTCAGCTGAAAATCTATTTCCACAAAGGATAAAGATTAGATCAAAATTCAAACTGAGGCACAGCACACAACCTCCTGCTAATCAAACTTACAGGCTTGATACAAGGGTACAAGAGGGTGACATTATCACAGCACCAACAAGGACCAGTGGTTTCAATCTCCAATCACTCTACATGGCTCAAATGACTCTGGTCTGATTTCTAGAGAGAAGCTTTACGTTCCATCACGGACAGAAGAAAAAAATCGGACACGAATGAGGGAGTGACTCCCCGGACCACTCGACACAAACATGCAAACTCGAAATCCGTCCGATCGTGCACGCTACCTTGTTACCAAATGTCATGTGTGCATTGTAGTTCAGGGGCTGTCATCGAACACCGAGGCGGCTCATGTATCTCTAAAGGCCACAAGCAGGCAAAGCAACACACAGCCGAATAGATAGCACTAGCTGCATACCTAAAATAGCAGTGCAGACGCGCAACTTGCACAGAGTTTACAAAGTATCTGGAGAGCAGGGCGCATGGGCTTTGTAGTCCACTTCCGCCATGGAGGCAGCTGAAACCTCGGCTCTGCCCGCGAAAGTAAACTACAACTCCCAAACATTGGCAAAACAACTATTTCTTTCTGACCCATCTACCCCCCAACATTTACCCCAACTGATTGAATGCATTTAACATTGCTTTGTTTAAAAAAATATCTAACTATAGAGGGCTCCTGGCACACTGGCGTGGCGCATACGTTTTGCGGCAGCTTAAGTAGGTGCCGCAAAGCCCCACGGCGCCGCTGCAGCAGGCAATGAAAGATGTTTTAAACAACTGCGTCACAATTTTCATTCTCTGTAGCGTTCCGCAGCCGAACAGAAAATGCACGTATTTACAGTGAAATCACGTTGATGCCAAGTTTGAGTGGAAACGCAGAGGCGATCCTGAGTAACGGGGAGAGTAAAGATCACAATGCTACGATTAGCATCGAAAACCTCCTCGGTTTAACTAATGTCGGCGGCTCTCAAGTGAGCACTAACGGCTCAACAGAAAACAACTGATGGCTAACGGCAGTGGCTAAAGTAGCAGGTCAGGGACAGCTGATATTACACTGGCTATCCTTCCTTTGTTATCGCCCAAGACAGCACTGGCAAATACAAAGAAACCAGCGAATAACACGGGATTCATCCGCTTCCATCAAAGCTAACACCACCACAGGCTAGAAGTACATGTGGAACGCCGAGCGTGTGTTAGCCTCCCTGCTGGTATCTGTGCAGCAGCCGTAAGCAGTATGATTTGATAGCAAAGCCTGTACAACGTTACTACTTACTTGCCGCATCAGAGTGCATTTTTATGAAACATACAACTGTCTGTGGGAAGTCCGCAGACCGGCCAATAGGCGGGCCTTGTCCGCGTAGACCACGCCCACGGCTCACGATTGAAAGCAAGCCCGCTCGGTCTCCGCCTGTGCTCGCTGTTGATTGGTCCTCAGAGCTGTCATGTCGCGAGAAGGAGGAGAAATAAATCGGCCCCTCCTGCGCTCAAATCTGATTGGTCAGATTTCCCAAACAGGCTCCGCTGCTTTGACAATCCATTGGTCCAGAGGATTTCTATGGGCACGTCAATCCACAGCATTTCCTCGTGCAAGCCCGGAGCCAGCCCACGATGCGATGTGATTGGTGGATCCAGCGATACGCCGACCTCCGCTGTTTGGGTTCGTGTGATGTCCGGCAGGCGGGCGGGGGTAGGTGGAGGTGAGTGTAGTGATCATGGTGGTGATGTGAGTTGTGTGTCTGTAACTGTGTGTGGATATCCCGCCAGAGAGGAGAAGTGCTAGCTGTTCGCTGCTCTGGTGGAGGTCCACAGTGTTTCCACAGGCCCTGTCCCAGATACTGCCTCAGTGACAAGTTCAGCCGTGAGCACCGATTAGCATGTGACTGAGAGTCCCGCACACTACACAAAACGAACACACCCACTCACACGGCTTCCCTCGTGCTTCCTCAAGCTTAATATGAAATCATTCCAAGTGAGACTAGTTGTTTGACTGTCTGCAGGAACCTACATCTCTGATTGTGAGTCAGTAACACCAGTTGACCACCCTGGAAACATGACCTGCTACATGAATCTACATCCTCAGTAAATTTGTTTTTTTAATACTTGATTTACAAGTTTCAGGGATATAACAGAGTGTTGACAGGACAGCAATACAAAGACAATTTAATTGAACGAAACAATAGAACAAAAATACTGCTCCACAGTTTACTTAATTAAGTGTTCTCTCAATAGAGTTATCTCAGAGCGAAGGCCAGGTGACATGGATAAGTGAACAGAGTAATAAAGTACATCCACTGGTGAAGCTGGGCAGTAAATGTGTATAACCAGTGTCAGTGTAGAGCTGGTTAAAGTTTCTGCTGTATAGTCCACTGCACTGGCTGTTATCACTGCTGTCTCCTTACTTTATTGTTAACACTGTTTCTTCTGCTGTACCTGCTGTGGCCTGCACGTCCTTTTTACAATTGCAGCTCTGCTCAGCAGTAATTTAAAATGTACTTGTTCAAGTACTGCACTTATGTACAATATTGAGGTACTTTATTTATACTTTGTATAATTATGTATCTTTGTATTTCCACTCCATTACATTTCACAGCGAAATAGTGTGCCTTTACTCCAATCCACAATTATATGACAAAACATGTTGTCATCTTATTAAATAAAAGGCATTTTTATAGATTCAACACAATGTACAGCACCACCTTGACTTGCTACAACATTAAAGAGCTGCTCACATTTTGACACACAATCCAGTATTATATCTTTCAACAAAATAAGATTAAACTGGGTCTTCTGCATTACTTTTGATGAATACTATTTTGCTGATATTTTTGAACCTGAGTTCAAAAAAAGGTAAATGGTTTTACCTATAGTGGCAGGAAAATTGAACTTCCAGTGAAATTGCTGCACGGTGAAAGGAGAGTTCTCTCATTAACAGTGAAACTGGAATTATCATAAAAAACATTGAATCTGTTCCTGTATTGGAGGCTGTGGCTCTAATATCACTCCATTTCTATCAGTGGTAGTAGAACCATTTTTAATTGAAAGCTTTGATTTATTGTTTCATACATAAGATATGAGCATCCTGCTTGGGTTTTCTAATGTGAATAAATGACTAACCTTTTCCCCCACAAAACCAGTGTAAAATAAACAAGTACTCCAAACAAAGGTGTGACTCACTGGAACTGCAGGGTTTAATGTGCGTTATTTTATTTGTTTAAACAATATTACATTATTTTTTATTAATATGTTTGCCCACAGCAATATTTTAACACTTGATTTTACCCAGAACCTAATTTATTTCAAATTGAAACAGCCTATTAAGGACAGGGCCTTTGGCATGATGTTTTTTTAAGTGGGGCGGAGTTCTAAACGCATGAACCAGGGAGGAGCAATTACAGCTAGTAAAGACTGGAGGCTCTGTCAGAGGGAGTAGTACTGTCCTGGTAAAGTTGCACAGTTCAGGTCCAGAAGAGGTTTCTGTAAACTCCTGCATCATGACTTCTGCACAACCTGCACCAGTGAGGACGGAGGAAGAAGCAGCTGGTGGTTCTAATCCAGCTGCAGTGAAAGGACAGTGGAAGGTGAGAGGAAACAAATGATTTGTATAGAATGACGTACATTAGAGCCAGATATGATATATGTTGTTTTTTCACCTTACTCTATTTCTTTTTCAATTATTTTGCAAATAACTTTGAAATGGTTTCATGTTAAATTGTGTTGTATGTATAAAACTACGTGGCTCACCTAACCTGACTGCTGTGTCGTGCAGTGCCCCCTGAGTGATCGTCACATTCATGGAGAGGATGTGAGAAAGGTGTGGAAAGAATGCCAAGAGGAGAGCTTCTGGTACAGAGGTATACTTTTTAAGTTGTTCAGTATACACACACCTCTATATAATTAACTATTATTAAGTAGAAACTCAGGAAGTCAACAAATCTGTCGGATGACCTATACCACGCTGTATGGCGGGTTTGGATACATCCACCCACATGTATTGTAAGTCATTGGGGCAGGGCTCATTTATCAACACCTACTTGTCACAGTGTGTTTACATTTTTCTCTGTGGAATCCAGCCTGTGGCCAGTTAATCACTCTCATGTCCACTCCTATATAGTGTGTTCATTCACTGAGTCTTATTCTCTCTGGCTGTCTTCAATCCTTTGCTGTGAATTCACTGAATTGGATCTTGTTACAGTGGAGCCACACTGCAAGTGTCCGGGAGTCAGTTAAAACCAGACACCGAAATAAAACCTGCTTCAACAAATAAGAGATTCAGAGATATGCCACTACACACCTACACAGCTCTCATGTTGGAGCAGATACGGAAGCAAGGTGAATCACTCGCAGGACAGAAAACAGTCGGGGTTGTAATCAGAAGCTACAGGAGCTAGCTTGGTTAACCAGCTCACAACTGAAAAACATCCTTGCTTGTCTGTCAACACTTAATTGTCTGAAGCCTTTCACTCGCTGCCAGCTGCCAGTCCCTTTTCTTCTCTCAACATGTGCTTACACAAACCTATGATGCAAACATGAAAGGCAACAACTTCCTGGATGAGAAATCAGCCCCATCCTGTCCCTTGACTTATGCGCATAAATTGTCGAGTCTCTCCATAACAGGTGGAAGTTCAATCAGATTGTACTCTGCACAGGGCTATCAAGTCAGGGTCCAATCTATTACAGGATATGTCTTTACAGGGGAGTAAATATTAGTGTGTTTGATGTTGTTACTGTCATTAAATTGGTTTGAAATATGACACTTGGCCCAATAACAGGAAATGCTATATTAGTGCCTCACAAGCAACAAATGCCCAGTTGGCCAGATGATGGCGATGTAACCAAGGCCTAAAACTGCATTTTGGAAAGGCTGTGCTCCTCACACTGTTAGTACAAATGAAGCACGCCTAGTTGTGGTCTTACAGTAAAGGAAAAAAGGCCAGAGACAAATGTTAAAAGTTGAATGACACTTATTATGGATGTTTGATTTAAATTTCCACACAAGAAAATAACACGTATAATGAAAATGTCAAGGCCAAATGAGCTACTTTTGCTCATATTAAATATAATTTGAACATTTTTAGAGACACAGAGTGCTCATTTAATCATGGTAGTTCCTCCAGGTGTCTAGACTTATAGCAGCATAACTAAGGGATGGTTCAGGGCTCTCCTGATCTATAAACTATAAACTTTATCAGAAAGGAACGTTTTAAGTCTAACTATAAATGTGCCTCCTAAACCCAAAGTTGGAGCTGGTTCCACGTTGGTTCCACAGGAGAGGAGCCTGGTGGTTGAAGGCTATTTTCACTGTTCCACTCATTGGTTGCAGCAACAGAGCAGGAGATTGTTATGGCACATGACAAAGCTGATGTCATTGAAAAGATGGCAGAGGGCAGTGAGTTACTGCGCCGCCTACTTTTATATTAGGTCTGGTAACCATTACATCAACAAATAGGGTTAACCTACAAAATTAGAGGTCTGGTGCTTTGTAAGAAAAAAGTGGACTGGAAAGGAGTCAAATTCCCAGCCTGAATTACTGTCCCAGTCCGCCCCTGAACCCAAACCAAAATCTAACCAAGTTCTGTTTCCGAAACTTAACCAAACTTTCAAGTCACAAAGCCTTTATGGCAGAAAACCATGAAGGGAGTTTTTTTCCAACAGCAGAGAAAAAAGCCCCTGGGAACATAAAAGTTCACCATGATGGATTTTGTACCATTATGAATTTTCTTTTAAACACATCTTGTTTGGTTATAACATTTTCCACAAATACTCATTGGACAAAGGCTTGTTCTTATTGTATCTAGTACTTAAGATATTGACCAATAAACTTCAAAATTAGCATGACTTGACTATAACACAGCAACAATTCATCCTTTCATCATAAATCAGATTAAATACCTTCAGGACGTGTTTGGAAATATGTCTATCGAAGCATTTTGAGCCATACTCAAGGGACACTACAAATATCAAAATGTGTACCTCAAAACCAAGTGAATAGGGGTTATAGAAGTCTTCATAGCTCCTTTTAAGACACAATTTCTAAATATGGTCTTTGTGCATTTCTCTGTGGACAAAGCCCTTTCATGCTAAACTTGCTTTATGGTCAAATAAGTCATGGACGTCTCACTTTCAACAATATGTGACCTTTAATTTGCCCTGATTGAGCTTCTGTCCTCTGTTGGGATTGAACTCAGAGCTGCTGTTTTTCTTGAACACTGACTTCTACCTGCTTTTATCTTTGTGAAGAGAGAAAGCAGTATAGACAATGTTATGAACAAACTTGATTCTGATTATTATTAATTATTATTATTAAAAGTATTTCCCAAGATGTCTGTTAATACATGGTTTCTAACAGCTGCTGACTGCTGTCTTTTTTTTCTTTATTTAGCTCTCCCCTTGTCCCTGGGCAGCATGGCTGTCACTGGTGGGCTGATATACAATGGTAAAGCACTGACTTTCATCAAATCTTACTCATGTAAAACAATCATTTTTGTTCACATGTGATTTAGATCAAATTTTATTTCCATACAGGTATCTGGAAGTCATCAAAGCGATTTGGTCCCTTTCCAAAACTAGCAGGTATGTTACAGTATAATGAATTTCAGTTCATCTGTAGCTATGCTTCTTATAATCCCTCAAAGATAGATGGTCTTTAAATATTATTCTTTGTTTGTTTCAGTTGCTGGGATCCTTGGTTACGCTGTGGGGAAAGCATCTTATGTTAGAACTTGTCGAGGAAAGTTCCACGAGCTTGGCCTTGGGGATGGACCAGGATTTGGACCCTGGTCGCAAGGAGGACCTTTAAATAACCATGGTCCCGGACACAGGTGAGGAAAACACTGAATTTATTGATTTTAATATCAGGTTTAATATCAGGTTCTCAAGGCAGAAGTTAATTTCACCACTTGTGTTAAGAGCAAGGTCAGTAATTAGAAGAGGAATTGCTTTTTTGAGTGACATTTGACAAAGATAAAATGATAAATGACCATAAGGGACAAGCAAACAATATAACTGAGAATTTGTTGTCATTCTTGAATTTTTACTCTTTATTGACGTACTTTGCACAATAGCCACTCAAATAAAAAACTCTGTTATCATTTGTTCTGCAAAGGCTCTGGTCATTGAAAGTGAAATAATAATTTAAAGATACCACAGTATTCCACTCACTTCGTTATTGGGAATGGACTTCAGATTTATCTCTAAGTTCATATTTCCACTTCATCCATGCACAGTCTATCAAATGAAAAACATTATTGAATCCAATATTCAACTATTCAAAAGAGAGACCATGATGTTATTCCAACAGATCCTGCCACCATGTCTGTGAAGAATGTAAGAAATCAGCTCAAGCTACACCGACAGAGGAGGTGAAAAGTTAAATGTAAGTTAAACATATGTATATAGAGCAATGAAACACAACGCTATACTGCACACAACTCTGAAGCTTGAATTTGGCTTTTACTAATTATACACTCACAAAATGTAAAATAGCTAATTGTAAAGGAAAAAGATGTATGTATGGAAGCATGTAAAAATAACTGGAAAACACTGTTTATATATTTCCTATAATTTTTCAGACTCATGGGAGGACTGACTGTCAGGATGGCCCTGTCAGTAGCAGTATATTGCTTCTTAAATGTTATTAATACTGGTTAACATGTGTTCATGTCAAACCATGCACAAGGTGCCACTAGGGGGAGCAACTGTCCTTTTAATCACAGATCTGTGTTAATGTATTTCATTAGATTATTTTCTAAAATATGAAATAAAAACTAAAGACAATTTGCTTATTTTATGCTGTTTGCCTATGAGCGATTTGGACTGTTTTATCAGCAAATACACAACATCATACAAAGAACCAATATGCTTGAAATGTTTTTGTCAGTCAATGTTTGCAATCATTCTATGTATGCTCATAATTGATAAATAAATACTTTGACATATGTCCTTTCTTACTTTTTGTTAAATAAATGGTTTAATCTTATTTGACAGATTTGAAGTAAGTGGATTCTGTAAGGGCTGTTAAAAATCAACACAACGTGTGCCCCAAGATTTCTATGTTGTTTATTTTTTCTCAGCTTAGGTAACATATGATACACATGTTACATTTACATTCAAAGTACCTTCAAGCAATTGATCTGAGTTTCAACTGTTTGCATCATTTCATCCAATGGGAGTATTTAAAGGTAGAACAAAAGTTATGTGAATCTTATGGAAACCCACGTATCTTTTGTTCACTCAAATATGATGTCACCAAAATCCAACCCAGTTTATCAGCCTGTCTGGTTCTATAGCATGAGTGCACAGACAACTGAGTCAAATAAATATGAATGTATAGCCTGATAAGAGCAGTGTTTTTAACTAGTTGGGAACTAAATACAAGACCAGACACTAATAAAACAATTATTTGTGGCTAGCAGTGTTGAGTTAAAATGTTTTTAACAATTGCTTTAAAAGTTTGTAGTTGTTCATTTGTAAACATAATAAATAGGCCTGGTGTTTTTTATTATTGTAGATTATATAGTAAAATCTTTAGTTTTACTCTACATCACTTTGTTGGACTTCAAACACTCAATTGTTTAAAAGTTGTGCTCAAAAATACTCAATTGTTCTATCAGATAAAAATACTTATTGCGCTCTTTCGTGTACCCGCCTCCCCGAACATGTGTCGGGGTACGCTGGTTGACACAAATAAACGGACCCATGTGAATGTCACCCCGGGACGTCATCCAATCAACAGGTCGTTTTCATCGGGATTGCCACGCGATGGGTCGAATAGAAAGCCGCGTTTCGTGTGGGCGTACATCATCTCAGCCAATCACAGCGAACGAGGCGGGACAAACGGGGCTGTGACAGGCGAGCTGTGCTCTCAGCGGAGAGACGGGCTGAAAAAAAAATCACACCGCTACGCAAATCCTTCCAATGGAGGAGGGCCAGGACTCTGGAGCTTGTTCGGCACTGAAAAAAAGCGTCTGCAAGCTAGCTGCCTAGCTCAAGTGAGGGGACAGGAGACAAAAGTTGTGAGTATCTCCAGCTTCACGAATAACCAAGTAATTGAGGACACGGCGGCTGCGAGCGAGTGTAGTTAACGTTGGCTTGTGTCAAGTTCCGTGATTAACTTTGCTGCCGGGGTTAACGTTAGCTTCACAACTGTGCTCCCAGCGTTGGCTGCCGTAGCATGCTAACCAAGGAGTTGCTGCTCTGCTAGTGTGAGTTAATCGCCTAGCTACCGTGCAACTTCAATCTGAAGCATCGTTCAGCGTCATTAGTAAACGCGTTCAGCTGGCGGGGCTGTTCACATTGCTAGCATGTTGAGCGATAACTTATGTGACAACTGGCTGGTCAACTAAACCAAGTTGCCCCTGCTGCTAGCTAGCTAGCCTGCTGCTCAGCATTAGCACTTTGCTCAGTACAACATCAACACCGGGCTAGTTGCTAACTAAAAGCTACCACGAACAACCCTACCATTAGTCTGTCTCAACGTAGCTAGTTGTCTTTTTTGGTTTTACTTTTGTATTGTGGAAAAACTATTCGTGACAGAGAAGGAAATGCGTGGACATTTTTAACCACAGCATCCAGACAACCACGCACACAGAGTTAACCCAGTTAGTTCAGGGTTTATTCAATGAACCGGATTTATCTGGGAGATAAGACACTGATGCTAAGCTAAGTGTTGTTTGTTAGCGTCTTAAAAGAAGACCTTTTGTGGCTGAAAGTTAAAAGATGGTGTGTTTGAAGGGACAATGCCACAACATGTCCAAGCATGGTGTTTCCTCTGCATTGACATGACAGTGAGAGGACTATCAGCTCTGAGGGCTTCATTCTCCCTGTTCAGAGTGCATCACACACACAATGAAGCATTTGTTCACTCTCTGTAGAGTCGACCTCTTGGATACAGTCAGAGAGGAATCTGGTCAGTCTGCTGTGTGGCTGGAGGTGGAGACGGCCAAACAATGTCAGATGGAGGCACATTGACAAGAGAAGTCCGTTTGTGTTCTCCCATGGGTCCCCATCAGGGTGGACTACGCTTTGACTAGTAATAAGAACTTTGTTGTGAACAGTTGCTTGTAGAAGTCAGATTGCAGTAGTGTAGCCATGTCCATGCCTTTCTAAACATGTACAAACTAGCATCTCTTAAGCAGATCCATTTTACAGGTTTACAAAGGTCAAACTACAACCTTTTAAATTACATGTGAACATCGCTTTAAAAGCTAATTTACGTGTAGTTGTTTGAAGAAGGAGATGACGCCGAACTTCATTTTACTCATCTGTTTACTTTTGCTGCAGTGCTGCTATGTGAAGCTGATATGAAGTAGTACACCACATAGTTTAAGCATTTCATACGCAAGACTTTGCAGTGTTGTGCTAACCTCAGCCCACTGGACCATTGGCCTTTGCAACTGGCTGATCTACCCTCATCCCTGCCAGGATAAGCTCCTCATGGAAGTACAGATGTGTCGTGCAGTCTCCTATACACGCACAAATCAGTAGGAACCCACCCTAGATTGCACGCAGCCATCTATCTGTGATTATCTGGGCCATAATTCCGGTGAATTAGTGTGTTTGGTTTAATCTGGTAAGACATTAATTGCATTGAAGAGTTCGAGGGATGAAAAAACCAAGCTCTGAAAAATGCCCCACAGTGGCCCCTCACTAAGCTGCCCCCCTGCAAGGATTTACTGTCAACTCAGCATTTCAGTGGTGACTACAAAAATATTATGTAACGCAGAAATAACAAATCAGTTTCTTAATTTTATTTATTCATTCATAAAACATTCATATTAATCCAATAAATGTGGTTGTTTTGGGTCTGGCAAATTTCAGTGCTTCAGCAGTGATCCTTAGCTACAAGTTTTTGCATCACAGAAACAACTTATTGTATTACAGCCTCTACCTTGGTTCTAATTCATGTAATGATGTAGTGTGAAGAAAGCAAAAATTAGGTGGTGTTCTTTACATGGGGCTGAAACTTGTGACGACGCAAATATCTTGCCTCGTTGATTTCCTTCGGCACCTGCTTTGATAGCCCATGACCTCGTGGGTAGCTTCTACTCTATATCCTAATATTTCTCCTACACAACTTATTCACTGTCTCCATGGTCATACATTTGGCAAGAGAACATTATCTGACCTCCACACCTAGACTGATCGGTTGCATCTGGGTATGCAATGTGACTCTGCATTTGCACATGGTTAAATTATTAACTGCATAGCCAAACAAACAACACGCTGAGGAATTGCCCAAAAATTCAGCTTTAAACCTTGATGTTCAACTAAATATTGGTTCTAATTAGCTTCTCTGTATGCTAGCAGCTGTCTTAATCTGGGTACTGCAATGAGCATTGCAACCAACTCAAATTATCTCTTTAGAGGACTCTAGATTATGTGTCAAATGCTTTCAGTAAAATGAAGGCTTCCTGTCGCACAGAGAAGATAAGAAGAATATTCAGCAGTTTGTGAATCACACTTTTTTTGTTTCTGTTTTCCAATTTAACTCATGATGATTTTTCAGTGTTTTGGTAAATAGAATTTTGTCAACACCTCTCGAACATTCATTAGTTCACTTCCAAAAAGTCTCTTCTTCTCAATGCAATGTAGATTAAAGCACAGCATTACTGACTCTGATTTACACGGGTTAGTCATTCTTTTCTTTGATTGCACTGAAAGACTGGGCATAATGTAGCACACAATAAGGACTGAGTCTAGCTAGAAATAACCTATAATTGAGCCCTGCTGAGGAAGATTATCCTTGGCTTTGGGAGAGAGGGTTTGGAGCATAATTGATGTTTGGGTCTGTCTTTGCCAAAGAAACCACCCTGTCTTTGCCCTCAAGACGTCCTCGGCTGAGATGCAAGTGTTTCTGCTATATTTCGATCCGTTGTGGCTTCATTATAGCCTCATGTTTTCTGGCTGTATGTGTCACCCAGAGCAAGTTAATGCTAAGAGGCATGTCTGTTCAAACATGCAAAAAAGGTGTTTTTTTAAATCCTCTTCCTTTTCTAGTCGGAAGAAGCCAGTAATGTTTCCACTGAAGAGGTAGTGATTACAACAGGCCGGGCCTGTCATTTAGTTCTAGAGGGAGCCAGATATAGGCATTTCACCCTTTGTTTAATTTACTGTAACATGTTGTCTGATTCTAACTGTGAGTTAGCTCAGATTCCTGAGGACAAGTACAGTGAATACATCAGACATCCTTGAGTTTGTGATTTACTTATAAGGTGAACTTGAAGAAAAGCTGTGACAGAAGAATGACACACAGCAGAATGAGCATGGAAAATATTGTCTTTGTCTGGGTTATCTGTTATTTCCTGGATGGACTATCAACCTCTTATTCGCAGCATCCTTGTTGTACGCTGGACTCGGATGATTGCAGGGTGACATAAAGACATTAGATGTCGAGTTAACCATTGATAAGATCAGTTCTGCTCTGCTGACCTTTAGCTCGTCTCCCTTGTTCCAGTCACACTGAAATATAAAATGTTTAAACAAATCTGGAAAAGTACTGATTGTTAGAAGAATTAGTGAGCCGTGTTCAGATGTGAGATATGCTTTAGCAAAACCACAGAAATGCAATAGCTTAAATATAGAGCAGGAGCTCAGTTTGTGGCTTTATCTGCTACAGCGCTCAGGATGTTCACAGGGTTTGGCCTACCACTCTTCTCTTTGGTCGCAGTTTTGTTTTTTGGAGTCGCTGAGCTGGAGCAGGAAGTCAGATGTATTATTCACAGGTCTGTGAGTGTGAGAAGTTAGTGACTGCATCTGTTAATTTTTTTTTCTTCAGTTTTGCTATGGTTGTGGTGGCTGGGTTGGTATGTAGGCATGACCTTTTTGGGCTGTCAAGGTTTTTGCTCAGTTTTGTTTTGA